GCCCCGCCGCCCCGCCGCCCCGCCGAGAAGGCCTGACCCGCCTGACCCGCCTGACCGAAGGCCTGACCGCGCCGCTCTCGGCCCCTCGCGGCACCTGCCCAGGCTGGAACTACTTCGTTGTTCATCCACTGTCACTGTCGGGCACCCCACGAGCAGCGCCCACACCTGCCCTGTCCCTCCCCGTCCGGCCTCGCACCCCACCCTGCCCACTCGGGACAGCAGGACACCCCAGGCTCTCTGGGGCGGGTGGGTCGGTGGGAGGGCCAGGCAGAGTCCCCCTTCCTCCACTACCCCCTTTCTCCTTCCCAGCCCGCTCCCTCTCCTCTTCCCAGACACGGAGGGGAGAAGGCTAGGCCACCAGGTCACAAGGAAGACCGAGGGTCACTCTGCTGTCCCTTCGCTCCCATAGGAATGAACATTTTAGGCCCGTCTGCTATAAGTCAAAGGCCACAATTTGGGGTGCGCGTGCCCATAGGAATGAACATTTTAGGCCCGTCTGCTATAAATCAAAGGCCACAATTTGGGGGGTGTGTGTGTGGGGGGGTTTGTGTGTGTGTGCGTGCGCGCGTGCGTGTGTGTGCGCGTAGGGGGCAGGTACTAGGGAGCAGAGAAATGAAGCTAGTGCACTAAAAGCTCGGATTAACTGGAAATCATGCAGAAACGAAGATGAAGTGAAAACAGCATTTGACAGGTCTTCAATTTCTTCTTTGCAAAGCAGGAAAATAATGGGCAGGCCCTGGTTCCAGACCGGGGTTCAAGAAGCAACAGCTAAGGGATTAATTAAGGTCCCTCTCTTTACCAGGGGCTGTGAGGACCACGTGAGACCACAAGGGGGCACAGCGTCTCAGCACCAGCCCAGCACCCACCCTCCCTTGCTGAGAAAGTTCAGATTTGCCCACAGGGAACACCTCTCCCCTGCTCTCAAGGGGAGGTTTGGGGGTCAAGGCAGAGGCCCCACCCCTTGCTCAGGGGCCTGGCCAATTTGCACTTCTCAACCACAGGACCACAG